AAGACGAGAATCTGAAACACAGTTTCTGATTTGTTAAAACCGTTTACAGGCAATTTACTTTAATTGATATATGTAAAAATAATTAGTTTTATCCATCTGGGAGACAATATAAAAGCTGATTTTAATGTTATTTCAAATAAATATATTATTATGTTATTTTAAACGTTGTTCTAATGGATACGATTTTATTGAAAAATTTATTTTATTTTAAAATAGTACTATTTTAAAAGATTCACAAATACATTTAATTGTTATAATTTATTTTTTTACGTTAATCTTCGTGCTTTTAATGTGTCGAATTAAGTTATTAAATATAATTACTTATCTAAATGCTTAATTTAGTCAAAAAATTTCGTTTTAATTTAATAATTTTAATATTTTAAATACATGAACATCTATTTAATATTATTTTTTACTGATGATAATAATTTAATGTATTTTTTTTTAAAAATTATAACTTATAACATGATTTATTATTTTCATCAGTTTTTCATGAAAAGATAAGAAGCGATTTCGACTGATCATCTATAAAGATTTTCCATTTGATGAAATAAGCTTTGGAACAAATGGGTGACAAAATCTTTGTACCACAATTTTTTTTTCCTTTATTCGATTTTTGGATTACTGCATTCTTCTCATTTATTTTGTACCTTCTTATTTCAGCATTTTGTTAAAAAATAATGCGATAAATTATTGTAAATAAGCAAAGTTTATCAATAAATTTAGTATACTTTAAGAATAAAAGAAACTATAAATATAGTTTCAAATATTATAGAGTATTTTTAAACGTATTATACATTCTTTTATACACATAGGTTGTATAAAATTTGATGTAACATTGATATATTTTTATTATTGCTAATTTTATAACGTAATTTTTAATATATAAAAATGCACATTGTTAATTTTTCAATGAAATTGTGATGTATAATAACATTATAGATTTATTTTTAATTTTTTTATTTTAATATTTTATTTTATTGCGGATAAGGTAAATTTATTAAAAAATTAATGTTCTAATTTATAATAATAGTTTCGTATATTTTAAAATAAATTAATATTACTATTTTGAAATGCAAATTTTATGTATAAAAATCTATATTGTTAATTTTTCATAAAACTTATGGAGTATAATAACATTTTAATTTAAATTCCGACAATGGTTTCACGGAACACTTACAACCATTCACTAATTTTACTATAAACCTTTGTAATCTCATTCTGAATACAACATTGAANATGAACATCTATTTAATATTATTTTTTACTGATGATAATAATTTAATGTATTTTTTTTTAAAAATTATAACTTATAACATGATTTATTATTTTCATCAGTTTTTCATGAAAAGATAAGAAGCGATTTCGACTGATCATCTATAAAGATTTTCCATTTGATGAAATAAGCTTTGGAACAAATGGGTGACAAAATCTTTGTACCACAATTTTTTTTTCCTTTATTCGATTTTTGGATTACTGCATTCTTCTCATTTATTTTGTACCTTCTTATTTCAGCATTTTGTTAAAAAATAATGCGATAAATTATTGTAAATAAGCAAAGTTTATCAATAAATTTAGTATACTTTAAGAATAAAAGAAACTATAAATATAGTTTCAAATATTATAGAGTATTTTTAAACGTATTATACATTCTTTTATACACATAGGTTGTATAAAATTTGATGTAACATTGATATATTTTTATTATTGCTAATTTTATAACGTAATTTTTAATATATAAAAATGCACATTGTTAATTTTTCATAAAACTTATGGAGTATAATAACATTTTAATTTAAATTCCGACAATGGTTTCACGGAACACTTACAACCATTCACTAATTTTACTATAAACCTTTGTAATCTCATTCTGAATACAACATTGAAAACTCTCCTTGCGTGTAATGTAACATCAAATGAGAGAGACATTAAATTACCCATTATAAACAGAAATTTCAATATTAATCTAACTATCACATAGAAAATATATAGATATGAGTATATTTCATTTCAGATAACTAAAAATTTGTTGATTCTTGGAAAATTGGTGTCAAATAACTTTTATCGCCCGTTTCATCTCGACTAAGCGAAATGATGCTTTACAAATATTTGTTCCGACCTTAGTAACTGATATAAATTCCATGTTTGCTTGTCACAGTTATTATGACATTTATGTCTATTTTTACTTTATGATGTTCATTTTTAATCTGTATTTGAATAATATTATAAAAGTAATATTTATTTAATATTCTAATTTAATAAACTTAAAATAAATTATTACTTGTTTGAAGTTTTGAGAATTTGTCTATTAAAACATATAAATATTACATATTTTAATATAAACAATGCTTAAATCGAATAAAAACAATTCAGCAAAAAATAGTGTAAGTTAATAGTAAGCTATATATATATTTATATTTATATTTATTTATTTATTTTTATTCAACAACAGACTGAATAAAAGAAGATATACATATAGATACAAGTATATTGGACAGAATTCATCATTCTGTCTTCAATGTTGAATCGATCTACTTCTCCAGATGATATACTTATCCATATCGTTATCTAAGCGGATTTATTCTTTGTTTTGTACAATATATTTTATCATATGTTTGTTTGTTGGAAAGTTTTTTCCGGGTTATACATCGCCATTTGTTTTAAAATTAAAGCAGTTTATTTACTCCACTCGACCTTAAAATTCATTTTCTACGATTCATCTCCGTGCTACTACATCTTAGTTAATAATGAGTTTCTTCGCTATTTATTGTAAAAGACTGGCGATTAACCTTACTATACCTTAAACCAATCTACATATCACCATTTGTTAGCAAGATTTAAAACAGTTTAGACACTCTAGATGACCTTCTTTCATTCATCTTTACTCCAATTGTAAAACCAGCTGCTTGAAGGCAGCCGAGAAAGCTTGAAGGAATCCATTGAGTTTTAGTCAATAAAAATTTCCTTCTAGCGCAAGTTCCATTATTTATCCTCTCACAATCTTTGAGTAACTGTAAAGTGCTTTCGTTGAGAGTAATTATGCATCATTAACCTGTTGCATTAAAACGCATTTACAATTTTCCTCACGTATAACAGCATCCCAAGACAGCTGTTCTTATAAGGCGACGATCATTAATATAAACCCTCTGATTTATCTTAATGATTATGAGCATTGACCTAGAAGAATGGATCGTTTTCGGACAATTGCGCGAGCATGATCATCTTCTTCATGAAATATGATCTGTATCTTTCTTCGATAATCAGACTCCTATCAATAGTTAGCAAAAGCTTCTTCTCTACTTTTATAATCAAAGAAAGAACTGTATAGTGAAATTTACCGTTGGATATCTTCGAAGCACACGACTGTCATTAAGTACATTTATCGTACCTTGATTATTTGAAAATAATGTCTTTCGATCTTAATGCCAATTCTCACGAAAGTATATTTCTTTGGTAAAGGTAGTTTACACAGTATTTTTTATCTACACGATCGGATTTTCCATGTTTTTCGACCTATAATTTTATAAAGATTTCGTGCAAACAGTTTGTAAATCTGTATAGTAATTCAGCTCATGATCATTAATGCTAATGCTTCAAACTCAACAATTTTTAAGTTTTTTTTTTAATTTATTTNTGGAATGGTCGACACCTTAAGGATTGTTGAAACTTTGAAGGAGATCGATGAGCAAATTAGATGCATTTTGTACTGTACAATAAACGGCAATGAAAGTAGGAATAAATATAAAAAGTTTGTTGTTACAATTAAGATTAAATAAATTCTCACTATTTATAAATAATGTATATATATTGCCTTTACAACAGATTGCTTCCATTGGTGAAATGCAAAAGAATTTTCAGTTATTCATCTCCCGAATGACTGGAAAATTTTCTACAGTGCGTAAAATCAATAAAATTTTTGAAATATTACAATTGCATCTATCTGAAACTACCGACTGAAATTGAATGACTTGTCAAGATTTCAAATGTATAGCTTAAATAACTTTTTAAAAATATTTCTAAAGAACAAAATGGAAATAAGGAGTATAAAAATCACATGCATTAAAAACGCTATTGTGTAATAATTATTTATATTGGTTACTTTTTGACAGTAAAAATTCTATAAAACAATTAATGTAACACGAATTTAACTTTATTACTTAATAAACAGTTTGTTTGATTGATTGATTATTTTATTATATTATTATTTTTTATGCAATAATTAAAACTTTTAAATTCACTTCTTAAAAAAATAATTATGCTTTTTAACTGAACTAAAGCGTTAAAATCGAAAAATACAGTAATTAATTAGATGGAATAATAACTATAGAATATATTGATGGATTTTTCGGAGAAGTTTCTCACTTACCATCCAATTCACACTGGGACTGAACAAATTAATCTCTAAATGCACATATTATTCGCATCTATCATTTACCTCTCTCCTTGAAAAACTAATTTAATGTAAATTCAACGAAAACATTATCATTAAACAAAAGTAATAAATAAATATAAATAAATTATTTTTTCCGATTTATAATTGAAATACACTGCAAAAAACTACTAATTAAATCTAAATTATGGTGAGAAACGTAACGTTATTAATGGGATATTATAAAATACACAGTGGCCCAAAAGTTACTTAACCATTGCAAAGACTAAATTTTTGTTTGATATATGGTACTTTATTACTCATAAACTTTGTAAAAATTGTTCGAATGAGATCATTCTTCCTCAATACACAAATTACAACGCCTTGACACACTTTCACAAATTAGTAACTTTCTGCCAAAAATTGTTGAATTGTTTGAAAACACAGTTACCTGACTTTTGGGCCACCTATATAGTAGTAATAAATTGACGAAACCGTATCTCGAGACAAAGTTCTTTAATTTTTTTTTTAAATAAAAGTTAGTTGACTTATATTTATATATTAAATTCAATGAATCTATTTAGGTCTAATTTATTCTGATACTAATAAAACTAATAAACTAATATCAAACCTTTATTAGTTGTAGAGGTTATAGTAACATCGTCACCCCTTGTCCATGACTCAAAAAATACATAATCTCGGACGAAAGTAGGAACGTGACATCGCAGGACGGCAGTGTTACCTTTAATCACAAATTCATCATAAACTTGAGCTTTATATTGTTGAGGAACAACTAGAAAGAGAAATAAAATATCATAAGTTTTACTTTTATCTCGTTAAGTACATTTAAAATTATTTCAAATAGATTTTTTAAACTTTTGCTCTCTTAAAAGCTCTCTTAGTGCCCACAGAGAGCCTTTTTTTTCAAATACATTGTGGGTTTGGCCAGGCACAAAATGGCGGCCGGGTGGTGAAGAATGGAACACAACATATCTGGAATTTATCGCTCATGAAAAATTCCTGTGGTGCTCGCTTGTTTCGATCTCGGGTACCCCAGAGCGGAAGATTGATTGACGCAATGACCACCTCGGCCATCCGGCCATCAAATTAAGTAGGTTAAGAATAGCAAGTTATATTAACAATAATTTAAATTTTAAAAAGTATATAATTCAAACTTCTTAACATTTCTATCCATAACTGTAATAAAATAATATTAAACATTTTTTTCCTCTAAAAATAATTATTTATATATAAAAATTTTGTTGAATATTCTATTTCCGACTTCTCGTAAATTATTATACGTGTTTGTGATTCCGATTTTTACTGCAAAAGAATAAAATAATAAGTGTACTACCGAGAATCAGTGAAATATATTTTATCCTTGAGGCATTTTAACTCGTCGCAATAAAAACAAGTTGAAATCGCGAACATTTTACAGAAAATATAAAAATAGAATCTGATTAAATATTTATATTCAACCTTTTTAAAATCTTTTTACATAAGTCTCAATTAGAAAAATTCCTTTAATAATCAGAGAAAAAAATAATGAAAATCATTTTTCCTCAAATAGAACAACTTGCACTTCATTATCCTTATTAAAAATGTCATTAAATTTAACATTCTAGCTTGTCATTTGAAATTATTTTTTAAACATATAATATTTTATTGATTACTTTTAATTATTATTTTCTTATTCTTTTTAAATTTTATACATTTATTTTTATAAAAGACTAAATGTTATGTAGTAGAATATAATATAATAAAATGTTATAAGATTCTTTAGTTTAAAACGATATAAAATAATTTAAAATATGTTTTGAAGTGTGTTGAATATTTTTATTATTTAATCAGTTTTAAATAATAAAAGTTAATAAGAAATACTAAAGTTTACGCAGGCGAATTTTTGTCATTCATATTCCTGTTTGCTTTTAAAGCTTATGAACAATGAATGTGATAATCACTAATTAAACTTAAATTTCCTTTTCTTATAATTAAGTAAAATTTATTTTAATTTATAAATAAATTCTATTAGTTTAAATTTCTCGAATTTGAGTCATGATTAAAAAAAAAAAAAAAAGACAAATAGATGTTAAGGAAAATTTTTCTCCAGATTCTATAGATTTTGTATAAATATGATTTTAAAATGTACCTAAAATGGTAAATTTTCCGTATTACTTCTGATAAATATATACATTTTTCTAACATTTTTTTCTCTATCTGTTTTTCCTTTTGTCTGGATGATTACATACCTACAAATAATAATGCAACACTGTGGCAACTTTTAATTAAAAAATAGTTGCTATGGTTTACATCATCCCTTAGAATTTTTCATTGTAAATCAGAATCTATTTTTTCAATATAAATTTACAATGAAATATTTTAACTCTATACATACGATAATATATTCAGTACACAATTGAAAGTAGTTTATTATAAAAATTTCCAAATACAAATTCTGATAATATAAAATACCATTAATATAAAAACAATATAAAATGTCTTTTATTTTAACTAGCCACTTAAGCAGAAAAAAATATATTAAATACGCATAAAAACAGTTATTATCATTCAAAATACTAATTAAAAGTTTAATTTTGGTTTCTAAATTAAAAAAAAGCCTGCATAAGTATTCTATAAACAATGCTCCTCGAATCTTAATATAAGAAAATCGATGCAATTACAATTTTTTAACGTTAACAACGTCATTTAATAACTTTTATGACTGAAGTAAATTAAATTTATTAAATATCGATTAATTCAAGAAATTTTAATTTACAATTACGTCACTAATCGCTCCCATGTTTCAAAGTGACGTATAGATCGCTATCCATTTCCTATTAGTAAATTTAATTTTTTTTAAGAATTTTTTTCTGAATAATTAATTTCATACCTAAGTCACTAGAAACGTGAGTATGTTGTTTAATTAAACAATCTCATTTTCTTAATGCTCTAGTAATAAAATGACTTTACTCTATGCTAATTGTTTAATTAATTCTATTAATCAGTCTCCTTCATCATTAATTTCTTTAGGATTAATATAATCTCTCTTAAGGATAGTTTTCATATTTGCATAATTATCTAGGATTTAAACCGCAATAATGAATTATTTAACAAATATAGTATATAATAAACCATCTATTTTATGCCACATATTGCATATGCATAATTATATTAGTATTTTAATTATAAACTAAAATGTAATTAAGCTCTTCAAACGACTGTTAAAGTAAAAGATTTATGATGGTTTTCTACGGTCTTATTTTCAACAATTGATGAGAGAACGAGAGATAGAGTGAGTTAATCATGTTGAAGCCATCAGAAAGTTAACTGAATTTATCTGTTTAAACGTCAAATTACTATTCAGTTGAATAGAATAATACAACAAGCCAAACGATCTCAATCCCATCATCCGGAATATTGTCTGAAGCAACAGAGAAAGATTAGAAAGATGTCAAAATGACAAAGTCCGGTAAGGATGTCGTGATCGAGAAAAGGGAAAATTTTCTGAGAATTACGTTGGAAGATAGGAGAATTTATTTTCTCACGACAACATTACATTAAGACTGAACGTAATTACAACGAACGTAGAAATTGATGTGCTTTAGCTAGAACGTAGCCATGTCGTGTTTGTCGTGTCCAGACATCAGCTGTGCCATTCTTCCAGCCATTAACTTGTCATCTAGCAGAATTTATTCCATTCAACGCCGGAAGTTGGGTGGAGGTGTGGCACGCGTTCCAGCTGTCACCATAACCTCATCTGGAGAATAGCTCTACGAAATTGTATGCTGTCTTATTTGATAGGGTTTTGAGAATGAAATTCTGTCAAAGGCGACAATGACTGAGTTGCAAGATTGCTTTTTTCTTCTTCTTCTCTTTTTCTATTGTTCTTTTGTGTTTTCTTTTATTTCGTGTTTAGTTATTAATATATCATTTTCTACACGATATTTACCGCACGCAAACTGCAATAAGGCAAATTTAATTAACTCATAAGGTAAATTTTATTACATTTGTATAAGAAACCTAATAACGGTATAAAATTGTGACGATTATAATGTTTATTCATTAAATATTTATTTTAAAAATGCTGTTAATTGAGTAAAGGTAAGTGTAGCGCGATAAATTACTTACTTTGAGAAAAAAAACAAAAAAAATTGAATAATACATCTAAGGAAATTTGATTTTTAAGTAAAAAGCCTACTTATGATAAGTATCGCAGATCTTGTTTCTACAGAGCATTTGAAAATAAAGCATAATTTGATACAAAATGTAGGAAAATTACTCTGTAACATCATTTTAAACTTGAGCCCTCGTTATTGAATTTTTTTATATTGCGACATTATTTTTAAAAAAATCAAAAAACTGTCTTTTTTTCTAAAAAGAAATTTTATTAAAATACTTTTTTTTAAGAAAATATATTTGAAAATATTTCTTTTAAGAACTATGATAAGTTGATGTTATTTTTTATATCGATATACAAGTTACCAATGTTATACAAGAGAGTTACAGTATAAACATTTGACAGTATGACAGATTTATTCTTTACAAATGCTGATACGCGTCTTGCATGTTTCGCCATTTTTGCAGGTCTTTCGTAGTAAACATCCTCTACCTGACATAGCTCCAGAGATGAAATATGAAACGTCTATGCCTTAGTCATTGCATTGGTCCATTATATGTATATATAAAATATGATTTTAAAATGTACCTAAAATGGTAAATTTTCCGTATTACTTCTGATAAATATATACATTTTTCTAACATTTTTTTCTCTATCTGTTTTTCCTTTTGTCTGGATGATTACATACCTACAAATAATAATGCAACACTGTGGCAACTTTTAATTAAAAAATAGTTGCTATGGTTTACATCATCCCTTAGAATTTTTCATTGTAAATCAGAATCTATTTTTTCAATATAAATTTACAATGAAATATTTTAACTCTATACATACGATAATATATTCAGTACACAATTGAAAGTAGTTTATTATAAAAATTTCCAAATACAAATTCTGATAATATAAAATACCATTAATATAAAAACAATATAAAATGTCTTTTATTTTAACTAGCCACTTAAGCAGAAAAAAATATATTAAATACGCATAAAAACAGTTATTATCATTCAAAATACTAATTAAAAGTTTAATTTTGGTTTCTAAATTAAAAAAAAGCCTGCATAAGTATTCTATAAACAATGCTCCTCGAATCTTAATATAAGAAAATCGATGCAATTACAATTTTTTAACGTTAACAACGTCATTTAATAACTTTTATGACTGAAGTAAATTAAATTTATTAAATATCGATTAATTCAAGAAATTTTAATTTACAATTACGTCACTAATCGCTCCCATGTTTCAAAGTGACGTATAGATCGCTATCCATTTCCTATTAGTAAATTTAATTTTTTTTAAGAATTTTTTTCTGAATAATTAATTTCATACCTAAGTCACTAGAAACGTGAGTATGTTGTTTAATTAAACAATCTCATTTTCTTAATGCTCTAGTAATAAAATGACTTTACTCTATGCTAATTGTTTAATTAATTCTATTAATCAGTCTCCTTCATCATTAATTTCTTTAGGATTAATATAATCTCTCTTAAGGATAGTTTTCATATTTGCATAATTATCTAGGATTTAAACCGCAATAATGAATTATTTAACAAATATAGTATATAATAAACCATCTATTTTATGCCACATATTGCATATGCATAATTATATTAGTATTTTAATTATAAACTAAAATGTAATTAAGCTCTTCAAACGACTGTTAAAGTAAAAGATTTATGA